AAGGGGTCCTATATTTTTTAAAACAAGAGGGAAAGAAAAGAAAAGGAAGCTCTTGACCTGGAAGATGTAAAGGGTTCTGGAGCACGTCGGCTATTGCCCTGCTTCTGGAGAAGGAATCACCTGGCTTTGAAGAGCCCTGTTTTACAGGAAGGTCTCTTTGGGATGCTGCTGAAATCTGACCCCCCAACCCCACCCCATGGACTTAGAGAGTACCACACCCTCTCAGAGCATGGCCTTTCTATCCCTTTGGAATATTTCATCCTCAAGTAACATTTCTTTCTGCTCTGTGTGTTTTTGGGGTAAAGAACTCTCTTTGTTGCTTTCATCTCTTTTCAAGATCTACTAAGCAGCTCACCCCATTTCTCACGTGGCTCTTTCCTTCTCTGAGTTATAAAATGAGCACCATTTCCTTTCTTTCACTTTCTTTCTTTTTCTTTTTCTGAAAGGCAAAAAGTAAAATCCCTTATGTGCTTTTGAATTTCCTTCATTGAGATCAACAAAATCAGTTGCGTTCTGAGTCTATCTAAAGTTTCTCATCCTTACAAGTCTTCACATTTACCTCCCTATATTGGACATCTCACCCAAAAGATGTGTTCCCATCAGTCCGACAGGGAGCTCAGCCCTGGCATCAGTTATTATTTCATCTTTCTCATCTTCGGTTGGCCTAATCTTTCTGTACCTTTCCTTAGAGACCTAATTCACACATTTCCTCAGGATATTCTCGCAGATCACAGGTCACAGGTCTACTCGATCCTTATATCAAAAGCAGAAATTTCTCTAGTAATATTTTAAATATGAGTCTCCTGCCCCCATGCCTGGCTGTCCTCGCCGCTGGGACCCCTTGGAGGGGAGCGGGTTGAGTTTTCCTCCCCGTTCTGACCAGGGCTCCAGCAGCCGAAGACCTCCAGAACCAGCCACCACCATGCTGAGACCACTCTCCGCACACATGAAGGTACCAGCAGAGGAACAAAGGCATGCGGGTCCCGGGGATGAGATCTCCAAGCCTACTCGAATCGGGGCTGAGCATCCTCCACCCAGATCCTCCAAATTCCAGTAGGCAGGAGTCACACCCACCAACTGGCCCCCTGGCGCTGTGTAATCCCATCAACGGCCAAAACTCAGAGACTATAAAACCCAGCTCCCGGAAGTGACATCTTATTACCTCATTCCTACTTTGGACAACCTGGCAGGCTACCGAATATAACCTGCCCACATGGCAGAGTCTGGCAAACTCCCCGGGGCGTACCCAATATGCCAAATACCAGTAACAATGATGGGTCTCATTCTAAAGAGCCTTGAATATGACACTTTCTTAAAAATCTCAGGGCAAGGATGAAGGAGACGTTACTGGGGCCTGCTCGAGGCAATCGACGAATAACAGGATGGTCGTGATTTTAAATACTTCAACTCATTCCAAGCTGCTGTTTGAAAGTTTACCTCCCCTAATTCGTTTCTTGGGTTGAAGCCCCTACTTCTGATCTAGAAATAATTAAAAACCATACACTTCTTTTTCTCATTTCTTATGTAGGGCACTTTAATTTCATACATCTGTTTAACTTCCCCTCCCCCCTTTCTTCCGGTCTTCAGCATCTCATTGTTTTGTTTCTTATCTCAGTGATTTTTCTTTTAAGAAAATATACCTTCGTCATTCAGCCTAATCAGTTCATCTTATTTGTTTCCATCCTTGCTTCACACTTCTCAGGATATAAGGTGACGCATCATTTTGAAACTTTCTCGAGTTCCTCTTTAATTTCCTGCAAAAAAAATAACTTGACTTTTAGAGATGGTATTTGTTTTGAAGCTGACAGCAAGACAGGATTCAATAATAAATGCCTATGAAAGATAAGAGGGAGAAAGCAGGAGCTGGTGTGGAAAGCCACAGAGCAACTCTGACAACTGAGAAAGAAAAGGCGGGCGAGGGAGAATTGAGAGGCAAGAGATTTAGCCAAAAATGACCCTTCAATGAGTGCCTTGTCCTGGGGTCAGAATAAGGCACTCAATCACAAGTCTCATTCCTATTCTTGATCTGCTCAATCACTGCTTGGGAGTAGCCTTAGCCAGAAGACAGAAGTGGACCCTGACCATCTGCACCTCTTCTGTCCGTCCCTAGGGCAGAACCCACAGATACTGATAAAAGCCTGATGGAGAACTGTTCTCCATTTGATGAGGATATTTAGGGAGTCTGCCTAGCTTCCTGGCCTTGAAACTTGGTGTCTGCTTATTCAGACAAGAAGACCCTCCTGGCATTGAAGGGGATGGATTCACTGGCTTTTGAAAACAAAGTTGGATGGACTGAGGGTCAGGTCCAACTCCAACTCATACTTTATGTGTGCCCTGGGTCAGCTTTCTGTATATTGGCTCTAAGATGAGTGTGGTAAATCAGGGACCCTTTTAGCACTGATACTTTGGGATATGTAGAGGTTTGACGAAAGTGGGGTTTTTGAGTTTATCTCTTTCCAAAATTATCCTTGGGAAAAGGTTGTTTATCAGTTTTCATCGTCAATGTGCCAATTGAGGGAGACACAGGAGATGTAATTATGGTATAGAAGTGCATGGATATTAACAAGAAATTGTTCTCTGACATAAATGGTCTAATATTAGCAAATGATTTAAAAAAAAGAACTAGGTTTGAATTGTCTTGTATGGTGCTAATTTGCTTCAAGTGCAAATACTAATCAAGAACATTAGTAATTACCACTTAGGTACAGGACCCCAATATATGAAATCTTCATCTTTATGTGTCACTTGTATAATAATGGATTACAGTAATGATGGGGAAGGATTCAAAGAAATAAGCTCTTTACAGAGATTTGAAGTGATAACTTCTGTTAATTAATTTTACCTTTGGTTAAATTGCTTGCAAGAGGTGTCTATTGAATCTTAGGAGAAAACTCCTATTAAATATAGCTTGATTAAATACATTCCTAGTATTAGTCTGCTATATGTAGAAGATTAGCATATTGTGTATGTGAAAACGTCTATAAATAAAGATGTAAAAGGAAGAACCATTTACTTTAAGCCTTGAACGCCTTTAATTTTACTCATTTTACAAATGGAAAAACTGAATTTATCAAACTTGATCAGTCACTGAATTTTGACTTATCTATGAATCATTTTATTTTGCTGTCAAGTGACAGGTACTTTCAGAAGTCTTTTATAGATATATTCGCACCCTTCAGTCACGGGTACAATCACCATGAGAGACAGAGTGATTTCCATTATCTCACAGATGAGAAGATGCAGACATAAAAGGGATAAGTGATTTCTTATGTGTCCCATAGACAGAGGTGGCAGAGCTGGGCTATGAATCCAGGCAGTTTGGCTCCAAAGTCCGTGTTTTTCACCACTTTGACAATTCCTCATCATAATGGTATTCTTAAAGAAGCAGACTGGGACCAGCAGAGACACTGCAAAAGATGTGAGTGCGTGCTTTGAAAGAGCTCGGTCCCCAGCACTGCAGGCTAATGCAGCCCTGCAGGGCTGGGCCAGAGCCCTTGAGTTGCAAAGCCATGCAGATCTTTGCTCTTGTTGACTCCTGCTCTCAGTAAAGACAGTAAAGTAAAATGTGAAATGTCAGGCTGGCACTAGAATGTCAATCTTGTTTTCTCTTTAAGTGTCTTTTCTATAGTGCCAGGGTTCTTTAAAAACAAATTTCTTTTATTCCTCTAAAATATACATGACAACTGAAGCTAGTGAGAGATTACTCAGAGCACCCCTTTGGGGGCCTGACTTTTCTGCAGTACGCCCCCAGCAGGAACACTCCCCACTCTCTCTCCATACTTCTCACGAGAAACTCAAGTTAACCAGCACTAATTAATAGGTAGGAATCATCTATAATCAAGAATAACATGCTTCAAAGCAAATGGCTGATTATTAAGTGATTTCAAGTTAGGTGAAAAGCTTTTTCCAAGAAATAAGCTTAACTATAATAGGAATAATCTTCTTGTCATTCTTCTAAATAAATTTTCCATTTGCTTTTTCCCTGGGCCTCACTGGGCCTAATGCTCAGTAATTTCCAGTCCTCCCACTACTAACCTCAGGCCTCTTAGTTTAATAAATGTACATGCCCAGGGATGCTAATTTGGCCTGACATTACATTAAATGTTTTCTTATTTTTATATTATTAGAGGTTGAGTAATAGGGTTACAATAGTGTTCAAGCTTCTGGTATTGATGTTCAAAGTCATTGCACACCGCCACCACAGAGGTGTCCATGCCTGCCTCACCCCTCCGTCTCCTCCAGTCCAATGTTCCTCTCCACCCCGCCAGTGTTCCACCATCTCTTGATTATTAGTTGCAGTTTTGGTGCATACTGTTACCTCCATAGCACTACCCAGGTGTGTGAGACCCTCCACTTTTGTTCCTGGGTTACTTCCTGTCACTGCCCTCATCTCCGTCTCCACACACCTGGCACTCTCAGGTCTGTATTCTAGTATCTGAGATTCATTATCAATTGATGTTGCCCATATCCTTGATTTATTTCTCGATATACCACCAATGTGTGATATTATCCTGCAGTTGTCCTCTGGCTTATTTTGCTCTAAACTGCTTCTCTTGACTCACCCCCCAAACCTGCACCCACCTGGAATCCAAATCTGAGAATCGTCATCCTCAAATATGCAAATTCACTGATCATGGCTGGATCAACTCACCGGTTTTGAGCTTGAAGAGTTGTTTACTTATCTAAGGTTCCTGTTCTCAGTAGGAGTTAACGAAACAACAAAAAAAGTGCATGTTGAGCCCATTCAAACCTGGAGACAGATTTTCAGAAAGAGTAGAATAGAGCACATTTGTGATCCTTGCTTCAGGGGACAGAAATGGTCCCATATTTCTATACGGTTGAGTTCTTATACTGGCCTATATCTCCTACAAACTAGGACCTCATCACAGGGGATGGGGTTGGATTATAGGGCTCAGAAGTTCAAAAGATCATGAACCATTAGAATTTTGTTATGGAAGAGGAGGGCTGAGAACCAAGAGACTTTTTTTCTCTTCTTTTAGGCACTGGTGAGGAAGATCGATGCCTCAGACAACATCTACACCATGGAATCCACCACAGGGAACCTGTTTAGCCTGACCCAGGAGGGAGCTCCTCTGTGCCGCATCATTGCCAAGGTGAGTTGCTAGCTTTGGGTCCTAGAGGATAGACCTGTTGAGAGTGGGAAAATGTTGTTCTGGTGGGAAGAGCTTCCTCTAAAGGTCCATCTTAGCTCTGGTATATGTACTGCTGTGTGAACTTGGAAGAGTGATTGTCCCTCTCTGGGCCTTCAAATTTCCTTTTTGGAGAGGTGAGTCTGCTTCACCGGTTGTCCCCAGGGTTTATTCCTGGATTTGTGCTGGTGGGACTTAGGGGACCAGGGGAAGTACCAGGAATCAATTCCCAGCTAGTCACATGCAAGGTCTTTCATGCCTTTCCTGAGGTACTATCGCTGGGTTCCTTTTCACCTTTCATTGTGACAAGCCCTCTATGATTTAATCCCCCAACTGAAACAAAAAGCTAGTGTCATATTTCCCCTGAGTCCCTGTCCTTGTTCTTCAGAGCGTGTCTGTGTTTAATACCAATCCTGCCCGTCTTCATATATTCCACTCAACCTTAACCAAACATATCGCCCTGCTTGGATTTTTGGCTGAATCCCTGAGTGCCTCCAGCTCTCCACCAGCACAGGAGAGGAAGACATTGGAGGTCCCTGGAGGTCCTGCACTGGAGGTCCAGACCCTTAGGACAAGTAGAGACACTTGCAGTGCTAGGGTTTCACAAGAGTCTATTCCTGTTTTTCTTTTTCACTTGAGAAATGACATAACCTTTGCTGATAGGACCAGTGATATAACTTGGGGGGGGGGGGGGTAAACATCTGTCCTTCTGAAGGCTGCAGTTGCTCACTATCAGGTGACCCTCCAGCTTGGTGGTCCCCAGCAATGATTCAGCACAGTCAGCATGGGAGATGGAACCAGATCTAACCCCACTCTGGAATCTCCATCTCTGTGTCCTTAAGCCTCTGATCCTGAGAAGAAAACAGAGAGACAACTGGGTGATGGCAGGACTCACTCCAGCCTACAAAATGCAAGGCACATCTGCCCAGTGGAATTTGTGTTTGGGTTTCCTGTCCTGAAAGCAAGGCAGGGGCGAGGGGGTCCCTGTTGTCATCTTCTCAGCTTTCTCACCCCAAATACTCAGGATATGTGTCCACCAGAAGTGGGAAGGCAACTCCTCTGGACCTTTTCCCCACCTCTGTGGGTCCTTGTGTGTCTCTTCTTGGGTCCTTCATCTTCCTGACCTCCCTCCAGGAGTCAGTTCTGCACAGCAGTCTGCCATCCGTCCCCCCATTCTCCCGACATCCTCCAAGGACTGAGGAGAAACTCAGGGCTTCCCGGAGAGAGGCAGCAACACAGGCACCCACTGTGTTCATTGTCCCCCACTCATCCATTCTTTTCCCCATCACTAGCTTATGTCCTCTGCCATGGCTGCCTCTGGCTTTCTGACAGATTATCTGCAGTTTGGTCTAAATAATTCATACTATTATATAGCTGGGCACTGAGCCCAGAGCTTTCTATAAAATTAAACAAGCTCCTGCCAACAGTGTGATTCTGCTAGCTCAGGCAATTCCCGGCTCTTCTGAGATGAGCAAAGCTCTTGGGTCCTCCACGGGGACTTCAGGGTGGTCCAGAGAGCAAATCCATCTCCTTCCTCTGTGGTCTTTTATCCCCCAGAGCTAGGCTCCTGGGTCCCTGGCATGAGGGCGGGAGACTGGAAGCCCGCCACATGAGCTTGGCCCGCACCCATTGGCCAGAACTGTCCACTCAGACCATGTTCCATGTTCCTTCACTCCGTGGCTCCCAGGTGGCTGTCCTGACCCTGTTTCTGATAAAGTTAACTGGCAACAGAGCCAGGAATTGAACCAGAATCCCCTCAATCTGGACTCAGGATTTTCCTCCCTTCTCTCCCAGCAGCCCAAATATGCTGAGAAGGCCACCCCTCTAGTGCTGGGGATGGGCGTGATGAGAATCAATGCAAATGTGAGCAGAGGCTTAAATATACTTGGCTCAGCATCTCCTGAGCCAACAAAGAGCCACCACATTCTTCCTGGCCCCTGTCTTGTCTTCTCTGGCACCATTTCTTCCTTCTCTGCTCTGGATGCAAATATCTATCTTCATGGAGAGAAATAATATTTAGATGATAAATACAATGAAGTATAAACACACACCATGTAAACGTCCACACACATATAAACATATGTTTACATCTGGAGGGGGGTCAGTAGTGACCACAGGGCAGCTGCGGAGAGCTCAGGGCTCCTGTGTCCGGTTTCCTGCTTTCATGAGGAATAACTTGGTTTTACTCTTGTGCCTCTCAGGGTGAGGTCTCTGCATGGAACCCACACCAGCTGTCTCAGTAACTGTGGGAAAGTGGGGAGGCAGAGACAAAGGATGGTGGAGGGAGGAGTCAGAGGGGGCTGATTGCATGGAGCAATGCTGTGCCCTCAGAATCAGAGCACTTCTCTTTGACCCTGCTACAGCTCTGCTCAGATTATATCAGATGCTCTGCTTTTGTCCTTCGATCCTGAGTTCCCACCAACACCCCATATCATGTACCTGCTTTTGAAAGTATCTACCAGATCATGAGCTCAGGAGGAAATGGCATGCAGAAAGCCCTGGGCCAGGATAGCAGCTGGCTTATGATAAATAACTCATCTTTTTCTTTTTCTTCTGAATTTTGGGCCACACCCAGTGGTGCTCTGGAGCTAATCCTGCCTCTGTGCTCAGGAGAACTGACCACTGTGCTCTTTGGCGACCATAAGCCAGGTCAGGAACTCAAACCCTGGTCAGTTGGATGCAAGGCATGCACCTGAACCCTTGTACTATCTCTCTGGCCCAGTGACAAATTTTTTTGAAATGCATAAATGAATTTACCATCCCAAACTAGATCTTTTCCCATCACAAGAGCAACCCCCTATGTAAATAGGAACATAAATTGCAGGGTTATTCTCACAAGATTATAGTTTTACAAATGCCCCACTTGGATGCTTATCTTGTTCCCTGTAAAGATAAGATAAGGAGCAGAACTTTTGGAATGAAAAGGACCCCTAAGCCTCATCTTATGGGGTGCAGGGAAGGGCATATCTGGGGTTAATTTATTTGGTGAGCCTATGCCAAGTGGCCATTCTTAGTGTCCTCTCCCAAGTTCTTCACCATCCCTTCACACAGTCATGCTGAGTCCTTAGCATGGATAAGGTACCTGGTAGCTTGGTACCCAGCAGGAGGTGCTCAATATATTTTTTGACGAAAATTCTTACAAACAGAAAGGATTTTGTTGCATTCATCATATCCTCCTCCTCTTCTTTCTCTCTTCTTCTTCTTCTTCTTCTTCTTCTTCTTCTTCTTCTTCTTCTTCTTCTTCTTCTTCTTCTTCTTCATCTTCCCTGTATGTATTTTAAATTTTATTTTATCCACCATTATTTACACTATTGTAATGGTATCCCTTTCCCCCTGACACACACACTTTTTATTTGTACACTGTGGTTTAGTTGTTCATGATGATTTTCTACAGGCATTCAATATTGCACACACTCTACTATAACTTGTGTTCCTTTGATTTGGGGAACAGAGGTTGATGGGTTCAGTGAGAGTCAGGAGTGGTAAGGTGCTGGTGAATGGTGCTGAACGCTGTCCTAGAAAATATGCCTGCCATCCCCGCACCAGCCCTTACTCCCTAGAAGCTTTTGGTTATTCCCACCAATAGTTTAAGAATTTAGTAGTTTGGCCTTTCTGGGAAGGTCCTGTTTCTGGAGTTAGCTTTTTGACTGCAGCATGCATGTAATATGGGTGTACATGAGCCATCAGGACTCTTGGGTGTGTGTATGCTTGAGTTTCTGTGTGCATATATGAATGTATGTGGGAATATTTGTGTGTATGAATGGTAGGGTTGGGAAAAATGACTTTCTAAGACTATCTTAGGTACCCTATAAATCAGGCTGACAGAAAACAGATCAGCAAGGGGAAAACAGAGAAGTGTATTAGTATCATGCTTAATATGCACAGTTGCTCAGAAGCCAGTAACACACAGTGCTGGTTGGGACTGAAGGTTCTTTGCTAGCTTCTTAGCAAAAAAAAAAAAACAAACCAACCAAAAAAAACCCCTACCCCCCCCCCCCCCCACACACACACACACACTCCACACACACTTTTAGAGAACTAACACCACGGCCATGGAAAAATAGGGGCAGCAAATCATGAGAACGCAACCATGCAAAAAACTGACAAATGATAAAGACTTGTCATGTCAGGAAGGTTTGTTAAGTAGATTTCTCACATGGCTGATAGGGATTAACTGACCTCAGCACCCTGATCAACTTCTGTGTTTCTAAGTAGAGAGGGGACACATTTGTAAATGTATGTGCTGCTTGCAGGTAAGTAGGGGGAGAATAAGGAGAGAGACCGAGAGAGAGTGAATGAGAGAGCTTTTTTATCTGCTTTGTCTCAATTGCCCTCATCTTTAAATAATCCTTATGCCAATATGGCATATTTGGGATGGCAGAATATGCTATGTGACAGTTTCCAAAGTATGTCTGCTGGATGGGGGCTGCTGGTCAGCCTGTGTCAAGCCACCCTGACACTTTCTTTTCCTTGGCAGGAGGGTGGGGTCGTGGCCCTTTTCAAGGTGTGCCGGCAGGACAGTTTCCGGTGCTTGTATCCCCAGGTACTCCGCACGCTGGCCTCCATCTGCTGTGTGGAAGAGGGTGTCCACCAGTTGGAGAAGGTAGGACTGTGGTGTGTGTGTGTGGGCAGGGGTCACAGAGCTCCTTGGGGCCATTGGTGCCTTTTCAGGGCACAGGCCTAAACACTTCCTCGCCCTGGGCACCCTTCAGAGTGTGGGGTTGATAATAGCAGCAGCATAATAATGATAGCATAGAGTAATGTAATATAAAAATCATGATAATAATAAGAATAATAACAATGATCTTCCGGACTTTCCAAACCCCCCAAATCAGCATCCTATCTACCACAAACACCAGGAACCTTGGCTACCAGGAACCCTGTTGAGATAGGATGGATCAGGGATCGTCCCAGCCATTATGATAATCATAGTCATAATTATAATACCATTATAATTTTTGGCTTGGAAAAATCCAGAAGATCATTATTGTTATCACCATTATCTTTACTATTATTATTATTACCACAATCATTACCATGGGGGCCTGATCAAGGGAGCTGATAAGGATGGGAAGGGGACAGAGGACTTGGGCCAGGAAAGCCAAGGCCCAGGGCCATCTCAGCACCCTGGGGGGTGACCATCAAAGTCCAGTGGGGGGTGGGGAACACAGGGGGAGGCCGGAGAAGCTGCAGGGGAGTGGGCTCTGGATTCGGGTGCTTGGTCTTTCCCTCCTGGTATGACCTCCACAGAAGGAAGAGGACAGTGGTCACTGTGTCTGGGAAAACTGCTGGTCTCCACAGCAGACTCCAGTGAGGGAACTGAGGTCTCCGGGCAAGTGTGTGGGGTCCCTGGGGCAGGAGGTGAGGCTGGAGAGGGAATATGAGGTAGCTGCTCCCAGCCCATCAGCGGAGCTGTGTGGGAGGCTGATTGCAGCCACCCTCCCCCCGTCATCCCCAGTTGGAGGACAGAGGGATCTGAGTCAGTCTGAGGCTGAGATGGATGATTCAAACCAGAGAGGGCAGGGGAGCGAGCTGGGGGAATTTTTCAGCCAAGGTTCAAGGAAAGATGCTGAAAAGTCCTGAGGACAGGAAGTCGAAAGTCCGGGTGTGGGCAGAAAGCTCACAGGGTCAGGGGTAGGGGCAATCAACCTGCTTCCCTCTCCCTGGCCCCAGCTGCCAAGAACACCCACATCTTAACCCTCTTCCCCCACCCCCAGACTCCTCGTCTTCGCTCTGGACTCCAAGGCAGACATTGTCTGACTTTTCCTTCTGCTCTGCATCTTTCCACATTGGACATGGCTCATGGGCATGTTCAGGGCTCACAGGCTCCAAGCTCTGCACTGAGGTCAGAGGCTAGAGGAGCGCCCGCTCCTCCCACGGAGAAGGCTGTGGCGCAGAGAGGACTGAAATCACACAGTAATTAGTCTCAAATCACACAGCAAGGGGGCAGCCATGCTGACAGCAGTCCACTGGGCAGTGCCTGTGCCCTTTTCTTGTGGATCTGGACCCTTGCTGTGCGTGTGCTCACACAGAGGGTGCAGTGGAGAAGGGGGATGACGCAGACAGATAGACAGACAGACAGACAGACAGATTCGACGAAACAGATGTACTGAACTTCTTTGGGTTCAGATACGGAATGATTCTCTCTCTTCTCTTTTTTAACATATTGGGCTCTGGACAAGTGGAAAACTGACCAAAGGGGTCTGTTCATGGTCTTCCATTTGTAGGTGGGCAGGAAGAAGGGGAGAAGAAGGGAACGCTCTCTCCAAAACCTGTGGCTGCCTGGCTGCCTTGAGTCTGCAGAGAAATGGGACGTTGGCAGCCCAGGGAAGAACACTGGGGGCTTTTGTTAAGAGGGAAAAATCTCTGCAGCTGGGAAGGCTCAGGCGGTTTTTCCTTCCAGGACACAGCAAATACAGAGAGCACCAGCATGTCTCTTCCGGACCCCTCCTGGAAGTCAGCCCCTGCCATGCGGAGCTGGTGATGAGCTCATGCCACATGCAGACACATGCACACATGCATGGACACATATGCACACACATGCACGTGCACGCGCACACAGCTCTGGTCAATTCCCCAGACCCCGCCCGGCAGGCACGAGCACCCTCATATCTGCACCTTCAAGGCAAACAGAGGCTCCACTAGTTTAAGTGACGTTCCTGAAATCTCAGATTTGCAGCCAGAATTTTGACTGGAATCTCACACTCCCGTTTTCCTCACTAGTTTCGTGAATCTCAGAATGCTGAGCAAAGTGCCTGAAGCTAAACTCAGCTCCACCATTCTGCGCCTGGCCGCCGTCCTAACACCCTCCACCCAACCCCAGCCTCCACAGGTGCAGTAAATGATAGTCCCCCACCTGAGCACCCCCCTTCTTCAGGCTCGACTGCTTTCCATACACAGAAACTAATGTCGCACTGCGGGCTCCAAGTGGAAATGAGAATTTCCCGAGGAGTGCCCTCTGGTGGCCAGATGCAGAAACGATCTTGCTCTGCTGTCAGCCTTGACAAAGCGGCTCTTGGGAATCTAGGTCCATCGCTGGTCGCTTCTAATGTGCACAAGCTCCCCCATTGCACAGATGAAAAAGCTGAAGTCCAGCGAGGTCAGAGGACTTCTTGCACAGAATCACACAGCTTAGTATTACAGTCATTCAGCAAAGATTTCCGGTCTGCTGAGGCAGAGTCAGGGATGGGAGGTGCTGGGAGTACATCAGTGAACAAAACCCTCCCATTCCTCATGCAATTTGTATTTCAGGGCACAAGCGAGGAAGTGTATATAGCCTGTCAGACCCCAGCCTTCTGGCTGTTTGGTACATAAAACGCATGAACTAACAATGGTTTTAATTTGAAAAAAAATTAAAAGATTGAAAAAATATCATACGGTAGTATTTGAACATTATAGGAGATTTAATCTTTTGATGCATGAAATTTTATTGGCACGCAGACAACCGTCTCCATGTAATTGTGATCTATATCTGCATTTAAGCAGCAACGGCAGATGGAGTAACTAGCTACAAGAGACCATTCCGCCTGTAAAGTCAAAAAATATTTTTCGTACAGAAAGTGTTTATCGACTCTTTCTGTCCCAGGAAAATAAGGATGTCGCGGCAATAATGAGAAAGACAGAAACATACAGATATCCAGCACTTGCTCAGCGCAAGCACTTTTAAGTCCCTTCTTCCACCAAGTCATTGTCACGGATATGCTCCATTAGGGCTGTTATTATTCCCACTGTTGATGGGAGGAAAGGAAGCTCGGGGAAGCAAAACAGCTTGGATTTCTAGAATGTACGGCTAATAAATGGACCGGCCGTAATTGAATTGCAGTGCAGAGAGGCACCCTCTGGTGGCCAGAAGCTATAAGTACACCGTACTGCTTGCAAGGTGGCTGGGACGCTCCCTAATCCATCCTGCCCCTCAAAAGGGTGGGTACCTGGTACCAAATAAGTGGCCATCGGTGTGTCTGTGGCAGATAGGGTGTTAAAATTACGGGGGTTGGAAAATCCGGAAGATCGTTATTCGGTGAAGGAGGGAGCACTGGCAGATCTGCAGAAGAGGCTGGCGAGCACATTCATAGACGCTGACTGGTGCAATGCGGAGAAGTCCCTTACGTGCCGGAAGCAGTTCACCGGATACAGTTTGTGGCCTGATTAGATAATATCAGGGGGCCAGCCCCCACCCCACCTCCGGTGTAGCTCCCTGCCCGCCCCCACCCGGGTTCATTCATTCCCTGATAGTGAGCCATGAAAGTGCTGGACTGGGTGAGAGTCTCCCCACCTTGGAAAAGAGAGAGAAAATGTGGACCGAGGAGGAGTAAGGACCCCAGAACCATGCAGTCCTGCTCTGGTTGCTCTTCGTGTGACTCAGTTTCTTGCAAGGTTCGGGCTGTTATCTCTGAGGACTAGCCGCCGGCCTGACCTTGGGGAGAATCTCAGGGTCTCGGGCAGGGTGCGCGGGAAGGGGTCGAGGGAGCAAGATTTTTTTTCCCCCCAGTGTTTTCTGAGCTTGAAAATGGGGATGGCGCCCTCTGCTGGGCATGTGTGGGAGCTGCAGCAGTGGGCGGAGCTGGCATCCTGGTGCCGGGCTGGACCGGCTTCCCCCCTCCCCCCACCCCCCCCCCACACACCTTTTCAGGTTAGCCTGGGAGGAATCCGCGCGCCCCTACAGAACCTGAGTGCAGAGGATCTTGCAATGGCCTTGACAGAGTTCCAAGTGTTCTGAGTGACGGACCCGTCAGCGTGCTGGAGCTGAACTTGGACCTGGCCAAGGGTCAGGATAAGGAAGTGGAGTTGAGCCCGGGGCTGTGGCTCTGAGCAGGGGCTGGGGCATTTGGGCTCCAACCTACAAACCTAATGCCCTAAGGCATAAGGAGGTTCAAAGCCCAGATCTGAGACGGCCTTAGACAGTTACAAGCAGAACTTCTTCCAGCCGTGAGACCAGAGACAAACTCAGAAGGGTTTTTTTTTTTAAAGTTTTTAAATTTAGGAATCGTGATTTACAAAGCTGTCAATAATAGAGTTTCAACTTGGGAACACTGGTGTAGGGATACAAATGCACGTTTGAGGTGTTTGTTTTTCTGTTTTCAAATCAGGAGATTACCCAGACTGGAGACAGAAGGAGAGTTTAATGAGATTCAGTGAGGAAATGGGAGAAGAGGGGAGGAGGGAGGCTCAATTTCAAGTCCAAGAAGGCAACCCTCAGTGGTGGGGGCTGGAAATCCTGTCCGCGTGGGCTCTGGTCCCCTTACACAGGGCACAGCTGCCTGGGCACTGAAGGTCTGATCTGGAGATTGGGAGGTTCAGGCCAGCTACTGAAATTCAGCCGGGGGGCAGGAGAGAGCCGGTGGGAGGTGGTGCTGTCTTGTGGGACTTTGTCTCTACTGCTTGAACCTTTTTGTCTTGCAAATGACCAGATCGAGATCACTGTTGAATTTTAAAAGTGAATCTTTATTTTTTCTTTCTTCTGCCTCTTTGTTCCTATAATTCAGTCCTTTTGCAAGGAGGCGGGAAGTGGTGATGCCCATTTTACAGAAGGGAAAGTTGAGATGGGGAACCAGAGACAGTGGGTGGGCATGAGCATGAGCTGGGAAACCATCCTTTTACTCCTCA